CCCCCCGGGGAAAGCAGAAAAAAACCTATTGTTAAAGAGAAGAAGCACTAACAGACCCAGCACTTTCTTAGGCAAATTAGTTTAGGAAGCTAAGGATTGTAGATTTCCTTAAAGCGATCAATGCCTGATACTCCCAGGAAAATCTTCCTATACAGCCAGATCCTGTTTGACTTTGATGCCTCTGTTAATCTAGGCTCTAGAGCTGTGCTATCCATGTAGTAAGTCGCCACTAGACACGTATGCCTGTTTAAATTGAAATTAAATAATACCTTAAAAATACCCTTCCTCAGACAGATGACATGTTTTAAGTGCACAAAAGCCACAGGTAGCCAGTGGTTACCATAGTGGATAGAGCCAATATAAAACATTTCCATCATCGCTGAAAGTTAATTTGGACAGTGTTGGTCTAAAAAATGTAAGTATAAACCAGTCTGACTATTCTCCTAAGACTAAATACAAGAGGGTGAAGATATACAAAAATAAAAGTAAATAAAAATACTTAAGAATTCAAGCCCTGTTTTGCTTGCCTATAAATATTTTCTACTCCAATCTGCCAATTAGGACCCTGTACAATTTAATAGTACAGTACATACGATTTAAATTTACAAGTTTTAATTTTTTAACATAGTTACTTTGAATAATCAAAGTATAATGAAATTTAGCGTCAGTATCTAATGGAAACAAATTACAACTTGAGATGAATTAGAAAAAACTAGGGGAGAATTCAAAATAGTTAAATTCTACATTCTAAGGAAAAATACTTACATGCTGTAATGCTTTCATTGCCTTCAACTGAGGCTCAGCCCAGGAGAAATATCTCAGTAAATCAACCACCTGAAAGCAAAGAACTAATTTAGCTCTAATGACAATGTGTTTGCAAACACTTCTCCAAGATGTATTTCAGTACTTTGAATTACTATTCAAAGTGTGCCACCTGGGCCCCAGGGATGAGGCATAAGCATGACACCAGAGTTCAGACTGGGCTGATGGAGTAGCCAAGTGCAGCTACTGAAATTTAAATCAACTGAAATCAAATCAAATCAAAAACTCAGTTCCTGACTGGCACAAGCCATATTTTAAGGGCTCAACAGCCATATGAAGCTGGTAGCTACCATGATGGTTACTGCAGAGAGAGAGCATTTCCTTCATCACAGAAAGTCTTGGACAGCATTGGTCTAGAATAAAGGAAAGTATAAGGTACAGGAAGAAGAAAGTACCTGATAAAAAGGAAAGCTGGAAAAGTACTAGATGGAGATAAAAGCATCACGTAGGAATATAAAGATATAGTATGAATGGAAAGTTTCAAAACATTTAGCGGAGAATAACAGTTTTAATCAATCACAAAAGGGTGTTCAGTGGTGTGGTTTAGTGTAGGTCCACTAACTTCTACTCTTTAACTCACATCTGGAGGGCATACTACTCTTACTTAGACCACAGATCTATTCCCTAAAAATGTAAGAATCACCCTGAATCACGACAGCAGCTTCTAAATGGTAAGTCATTGTTGAGAGCACAGCCAGCCAGGCTCTTTCCCACTACCACCAGCGAAGTTCAAGTGAATGAGTTCAAGTGAATGACGTGCAAGTCACAAAGTAGCTTTGAGGAATTTAGTAGGCAGAACTACAGGCTTAAAGTTATTCAAGTTTTGAAGGTCTTGAGAAACAGATGAAAAGTTGGAGCATTTATTAACTCAATCTATAGATTCATCCACTGTCTACCCTACTCACGTACCCAACCTTTTCTGTTCTTCAGATGTACATTTCCATTTCTGGTCTATTTCTCTATCAAGTATTTTCCAAGTATCTCTTGGAAATCCAGCTTTCTCTGCATATGTGTGTGTGTATATACGTGCAAACCTGTTTTTCAAAATCAGCAAACTCCCCCTAAAGTCGGGTGAAAGTCCCCACTAAACTACCACACTGAAAGTATTAGTCTTCTGGCAGTTACAGAAACTACTTATTAGACACTATTTTTTTTTCTTATTTGCTAAAATTTTTACTTAGTGGCTTCATGTAAGAACATATATCACCATTTGTTCAAGTTTTATAAAATGTAGTGAATTTTGCAATTACTGACTCATAAATACTGTACAATTTTGGGTATGTTTACCATTAGAAGTTTACAACATATGATACTGTGCCCAGAATATAAACACTTTGAACTGCTTTCTTCAGACACTGCATTTTAAAATCATGTTAGCATATGATATCATGGTGAAAGTGGGTATGTTTATAAACTATCCCAACTATAAATCATGTAAAGTTTTCTGCTAAAACTGAAAGCTTCTAAAGTTCCTGAATAAACACAGCAACAAAGTAAAAGCAATTCTGAACTTGACCAGCAGGTAAATAAAGACACTAATCAGAACATAAGTGTGAAAAAAGAAAGAACAAAAAAAATGCTGTTGCTTAAACAAATAAAGGAATACCTGTTCACTGGAGAAATATCCGTGCACATATTCAATTGCTTTTAATTTGTACTCTGTCAAAACAGCCTAAAAAACATAGAACAACAGAATGAATATATGTAATCATATGCATATGTCAAAACTGCCTAAGCAACTCAAACAGCCCTGGCACAAGGAGGCCGATAAAGTCACCATGGTGATGTGACATTCTACCTTCCCAAGTTCCATGCTGTAAGGGATACACTGAGACAGCCGGAAAAGCCCCTGGGCCTCCCTACTCACTCCTACAAAGGAAGGGAACAGAATTGTAAGAGATATGATTCGACATTAATAGAAATTAAGTATTCCTGGAAAAGTAATTGCAGTTTTAAAGCATCCAAAATTCAACAAGCCGTCATTTTTAAGGTTAAACGTAGTACCCATCACTCATTCATCAGATAATTATTTATTGCACACCTATATGTGCTAAGTGATAGAGAAACATGGATAAGACATGGTCTAGTCCAGGCTCTCAGTATTTCCTACAGGGATGTGAACCCAGGAGCCAATCTGTGCGCCTGACACTAACTGGCAGTGTGGCCTCTGAAAGGCCTTAAATTGCCCTGAGAGCCTCCTCACCAATCACTACCCACCTCAGTTACTGTGAGGATTAAAACAGTCAAGAGTAGATGTGGCACATAATAGGGAAGTTCAGAGAGAAGTCGATGGCCTTGACCCAGCACTATCTAGTGCCGAACGAAATCATGTATGATCTCCTTGCAACTATATGCTAAGCTTACAGATGGAAACACCAGACTATCAAAATTTGGTAACAACTACTCATTAAAAATCCACTAATCCCCTCTGTATGGTGACAGATGGTAACTAGACATATTGTAGTGGTCATTTTCTAGTATACAGAAACACAGACAGTGTTGTAGGTCAGTTACACTCCATAAAAAGAAAAATCAACTAATCCCTTTGCATTCACTACAAAACAATCATATTTGTACTTTTCACATGCATCATTCTGCTAAGAGAAAATACTACGACCAGTCAACAGAGAAACACACCCAGGGAGCTCAACAGCTGAATTTTCACTGAAAAGGGGGAGGGCATGGTATTCTGGATAATGTACTCTTGGGAGTTCGAGTATTATGGCCATTATTGGACACAATCAAAAGCAAGTTTCTGGCCCAAATCCTGGATTCTGTTGATGCCAAGTCATGTCTTAATTTTTTGATCAGCCCCTGAGAGGCCCAGCTGTATCCCCAGGCACAACACCACGGCACTCAGGAGTCAGCCTACCCAACTCTGAACAGTGCTCGCCTCCCTCACCAGGTGGGTAACTTTGAGCTGGCTGGTTAACCTCACAGACACTAGATCTGACCTCTGTAAAATGAGGGTTGTTAGGAGGATCTAATCAAATAACGCACGGAGAAAGTGCTTAGAATAGACACACTCAGTTAAGTGCTCAATAATAAAGGACTATTATTATTATTACCCCCTTCTTAAAAAGCAAATTAAATATTGCTTTTTCCCCTCCTTTCTTCTCCCCTCCTATTTCTTTTTCTAGTGTCTTCTTACATGGCTTTGTTTTAAATGACAGTTGTGACAGCCAGTATTACCTACAGACGTAACGGTAACATTCAGAAAGATACTACCTGGTTTAAACCGACTTACATTTACAAAGTCTGAGAGCAATTTTTAAAGAGCCAACAGTAATTCACACACTTATATATGCTTACATATTCATCCCATAGCCTAATACTACGTTGATGTATCTAATTATTTGGCATAGACAGCAAAAGATGTATTTTGATTTCAGACCAGAAATAAGGACTTAAGTTGCTATGTATTTGACTTTAATCTCTGGAAAATTTCCTATTCCCCTCATTAGTAATTACTGTCATCTTCCCAGAGTTTAGAAGAGAGAGAATATGCAAACCAACACTCTATAGCTTCCAAAGGTAGAATCAACTGGTCTACCCGAACAAATTCTTTTCTCATAAACCGTAGTTTAACATCAGCTCATGAACAAATTGTGGCAAATTCTAAGCATATAGTTATCAAGCTAATGTTTTATTGCAAATTTTCATCGGACAAATTGGGTTTGTAAAAGCAGAAATTCAAAAAAAGAACACTCAATATCCTTACAAATGTAAATTTAACCTAACACTCAAATTTGACGAAGAAAAAAGCTTTAAAAAGGATGAAAGAAAACAAACATTTTGCTTTACAGAGAATGAAGAAAAACAGCATGTCCAAAAGCAATTTTATTAATAACTTCGTAAGCTGAAATAAATAATAATCACCAGAGCACAAGGTAGCAAGTCTTTTCACATCAACAAGGGTCTTAAAGATATGAAAATGGCGAGATAATTGCCCGGAAATTCTAAGCAAAGGACCCTGTATTAGCATAAGAATGGTTAGTCAGTTCTTCCAGGTTTAACTTTGTAAACTCTTACTTTTTGCGCTTGAAATAGTGTTAGGCTCAAGGGTACAAGCCAAATTTTTTGCTGTCTGCTTCATTCTGGGAGGTAGGCTATGCACGATAGCCTCAAAATGAAGCAAAAACTTGAAAGCAGGAGAAAAAAGTTTTGAAATGCGAGTGTTTGAAGCCCATTCCTAAGAATGACTTTAAACTTAATGCCACACTTATTAGGACACTAATTTTGTCCGGCACAGGCAACAAATATAGTCCGCTTATACTGAGTTTTTAAAAACCTGTAATAATAACTACCGTTAAAGAAACTCCCTACGCTATTATCTCTAGTTTTCACTCACTCTTACGTTACTAAAGAGGAAATCGGTTCAGAAATATTAAAATCACTTATCCAAAACTACAGAGCTATTAAAGATTTGTAGCGGGTTTCGGAACCAGGGGCTCTGAATATAATATCCGCAACACCACACTGATTCTCAAGAAGTTTAGCGTTAACATTTCTATTTGTATCGTGAAATATATCAAGATTTAAACTCCTACTCTCTACGTTAAAATTCCAACCAGTTTTGCAATCCTTAAGCCTGTATTTTACACAATCTGCACGCAGTCCCTCAAAGAGAATAAATCACGAGAATTCGTAGCTCACAGATTTAAGGAATTAAGTGCAATTACCTTTCTAATTTCATCCAGCACCGTTTCAAAGGACTTTTTGTCCATCTTGACTACTATCTCGACGAGAAGAGTTACAGTTTCAATTACAAAACGTTCATCCCTGGTCCGCTCCGATAGTAAAAACGTTTACAGCTGAGAAGAAAAAAGACTCAAGGAGCAGAATAAAGGATGCGAAGAGGTAGAGTACTTCAAACTCTGCAAAAATTTCTAAAAGTGGAGACTTATAAAAACTTTTTATTAAAAACAAAACCCGTCAGGCTTCCCCAGCTTCTTTACACAAAGCTTCAGGACCCCCTCGGGGAAGAGAAACCCGAGGGTCGGTAGCCGGAGGCAGAGCGTCGGTCCCCGCAGCTCAAAGGCATGCGCCGCCGGGGGGAAGGTCCGGAAGCCGCCTTCCCGAGTGCAGCGGCCCGGAGAGCAGAGGCACCCGTGCCCCGAATCCCGCGGGCGGCGAGGAGGGAAGCACCGGCTTCTCGGCCCGCACTTGCACCTCGGCCGCCGCCGGCCGCCCCTCACCGCCGCGAACCTGGCCTCATGGCCCGCCTCGCGCTCACTCCCAGCAGCTCCGCCGGACTCCTGGGTCCCGTAGCCTGGGCAGCGGCGGCCTGGCAGCTCTTTGTTACCAGCTGCCACCGCTTTCGGGAGCGGGCCGGCGGCCGGCGAGCACCGGGAGCCGGGCAAAGGGGGCACGGTCTCAGGTAGGGGGACTCCCGAAGACCGCAGCGCCAACGGCGCTGAGAGCCCTTTCTGATTACCCCTAGAGCTTCCCCCGGCTCGTGGGGGCCTTCAACGGAGCCCGTCGCGCCAGAGTAAAGTCAACTCTGCGCCGCCTGCTGAAGCCACTCTTCGCGGAGAGTCTGTGGAGGGGTCCTGGTGTGGGAATGTAGGTGTCCATAGCAGATGCCTGGATGTCTCGGAATTGGATGAAGTTGAAGTCTTTCCCAGAGACTGAAAGTTATTAATCAAACCTTAATACTGAGGTTTGACTGTGCTAATTATTGGTTGTCAAGTCTGAATTTAAAAGAATAAACGTCGAGTGGTTAAGGCATATCTAAGGGCGCCCCGATTTTGGCGGACCGGAGAGGTCCACAGCGTGTACCGTCCGAAGGGTGGTCACGGGGTAAACCCGGGGCACGTGACAAGGGGATGGGAGGGAGGGGAGGGGAGGGGAGGGGAGGAAAAGACAAGGAGGGAAGAGGTTAGTCCCCTTCCCCCCCCCCACCCCCACCACCCCCCCTCAAGG